ATCGTTAGTTTGTTCGTTTCCTGTGATGTTCTGGTTGATTTTGAGACAAGCTGGGAGCTGTCATTGTTAAAGTACACAATATTCGCCGCTCATTTTATTATAAAACATTTAGTTTCGCTGCCATCTTTGTTGCTGTTCTCGTTGTTCGTAGCACGTTTACTTCCCACGTAAAGTAAGCGTTACAGCATCACATTTACATTGGAATCTGCAGGCTGGTCCCAGTCTTTCCTACTATGTGTTCTTCCCAAGAAGTGAATGTTCAATTCAAAACAATTGTTGATAGGCATGACGAAAAAAAAAAGAAAAAAAATACTATCCACTCGATTGCAAAACGAACTCCAACTCTTGGAAAACGAACATTATGCGAAGGAACTCTAAAGATATCCCGTTGTTTTCGAGTCATCTTTGATTATCTTTAAATTTTCCTCTGGCTACAATTTATATCGAAGATGAAACTAGATTTATAATTAAAAGAAGATACTAAGGTAAAGAAAGAAGAAAGGAAAAGAACCAAACCGAAAAAAAAGAAACAAAAATAGAAAATTCTTCAAATATTTGTACTTTAGTCTCAGCATTCTTATCGTTGTCTCTCGCGAGTAACGATGGTCAGGGTCAATAATACCTGCTCCTTTATCTCCTCAGGTCCAGTCTGTGTGGTTTCAATCGCTGGACCTTGTCGCAAAGGAAAATCGTACATCTTGAGTAGATCATTCGATCAGGGAGAAGTGTTTCCTCTTGGTCATTTCCTGGATCCGGAAACCATGGGAATTTGGATGTGGATTGTTCCAGATAAATTCAAGGTAATTTGGAATCACCGTTTCGGAGACGGAAAATACCCGATCTCTTAACTACCAATTATGCTCAATTAAATAAATACAATGGCAAAGCCTGAACAATAAAATGCAGGATTTTTTATAGCGTGAAAGTGAACAAAGTCGAGACACAAGCTACAACCGGCAAGAGCGGAAGTGGAAGAAACTTGATTAAATCTGTCGTATCAAGTTTGAGATGTATACCACCAGTGGTACAACTTACTATATTTTTTCTAGATAGTCTTTTGAAATTTGGCTGTTTGAATAAGTAGCATTCGATTTATCAGAAGAATTTAGAGTCTCTTCTTTCTTCTTTATTTTAGTTCCTCTGCCAAAATTTATTTTCTAACTATTTCCATCCAAAAATTAGCAATTTAGTTGAAGTATTTCTAATAGAACATTATCCCGATTTCAGCTTAGTTTGGAAGGTAATGACCCAGTAGTGTTTGACCACAACATTCTTCCATGATTAGAAGCTAAAGGAAAAAGAGTCATGCATGGGTATATGTTCAAAACGTCATTCTATTTCAGGTTTACTGCTATTTTTCCGTTTCATTTTCTTTTTCTTTTCTTTTCTAAAAGGACTCCAATGGACAGGAGTTCACAGTGGTTTTGCTTGACTCTGAAGGCATAGATGCTGTGTCAAGTGGTGGATCAGACGATCACTGTATTTTTACACTGACCATCCTTCTTGCTTCTGTACTGATTTACAACTCTGCTGGTGTACCGACCAGGACTGATCTGGATGGACTAGAGTATCCTTAATCAGAGGCCTATAAATAGATGTTTATCTGGTGTAACGACCAACTGAAACTCTCAATTTAGTTCCTGTATTGCTGCTAATGTGATATTACTAGACTGATTGAGTTTTAGTAGCAACTGAAATATTACATCTAGGTCGAGCAACTGAAATACTCAAGTTCGTCAAGGTCTAGATCGTCAAATTAAGAGCATCGCGGACTCTCGGTTCTTATTTTTTTTTTCTTCAGCCACGCTCGTTCCAACATGGATGACATCTAATCTATCATTAAATCTGCTACCTCTATGAAAGGCCCACTTTGCACGACATGCACGCTATTAATAGTTTTCATTTTTTTTTCTTTTCATGATAAACATGGCATTCTAAGTCACTGCTAATTGAATTGGTCAAAAAAAGATCTCTTCATGTCCAAAACAAATTGTCTCAGCGAAAGACAAGAATAAAGGTGAGAATGTGAAAAATGTAATCTAAAAAGAAATTTCTATTACTTGAGATCAATTAGGTCAGAATGTCTAACAAATCTAGATTATAATATTGAAAACGAAGCTTTGTATTGTATGCCTAATTCAAAAGGTAGGTTAAATGATTGATTTTTTTCATTTTGTCTTGAATCCTTAACATTCATCACAGCTTTATCGTAAAACTTTCTCAGCGAATTCAGCTTCATTCGTCAACACCAACGACTGATCCAGTCAGTGGCGGAAGCCTACAAGCTGATGCGAATCAGTTTCATAAAACATTCCCCTCCTTCATCTGGTTGCTAAGAGATGTCGTGCTATATCTTCCAAAGGACTGTCACAGTATCAAGGATTACTTCCTGACAAGGGTGGGTTTATAATTTTGTTTTCAAGGATAACTTTACGCCAATTTGTTCGAAGGTAATTGATGAACAAAGGTTCAGATAAGTGAAATCTAAATTGAATATCAGACTCGAAAATAAGAGTAATCCTTCATTTTTGGGACATGAATTCCACTTTTCCTCTTAACTGTACTGAATAATGAAATGAAGGCAAACTCTGGATCGTTTGCATGAGTTCCATTTTTTCCAAAAATTTAATGGCGGAGAGCGGAAGGAAAAGCATACAATTCTAAGCTACAGTACTTATTACGAAGACCTGATAGGCTTTTTTTCTCTTAATCCTTTTCGCCCCATAATGCAACATAGAAAACCCGGATTGATCGATTGTAATCTCACATTTGCAGAGCGTCATCCTGCATTACCACAGCAATTAAATGGACGTTAATTTTGTTGCACCTAGGTTTTCAAGCCTGACCCACTCCAAGGCAACCAACCAAACCAAGTGGCAGAGAGCATCTTGAAGTTTTTCCCTGGGTTTGATGCTTTCAAGCTTCCACCGCCGTCATCAGACCCGGAAGTGGTAACGAACCTTAACAGAGACGAGGTGCAGCAAGACGTGAACAAGCCATTTATCCGAGGAGTTCAGGATTTCAGGGCAATGCTCAGGTCTAGGCTATCCCCTAAGCGCAGTTTTAACGATGGAGAACTCGTAACTGGCGAAGGTAGGTGAATTCCTCCACCATCCCCCCCCCCTCCCACGCCCTGAGTGTACTGGACGCAGGCAGGCAAACTAATTTGAAACTTGCAAATGGGTGCATGGCCTGAAGGTGGTGCACTAGATGACCTCATACGCCCCAGCTGATATCTAAGAGAAATGACAATCGGATCTTTACCTAATGACTCATTCTCAACGACAAGGCGTCGGGAATTTAATTAAGATCATTTCGTTCAGAATCACTATTGTCAAGTAAGAACACCTATCTCCCGATTATTTTCCCAATGCAAGCGAAAGTTATCTCTTTAGTGTTAGATACGAAAGAAATTTAACATCGTTTTTTTACCTTATTTTTTTTTCTTTAACATAATAGCTCTTGCAGCTCTCGTTAATATTTACGTTTCCGCCTTGAACACTCCTGGCACGGTGCCCAGTGTGCAGAGTGCGTGGGAGATCTTTGTGCACACTAAGTGCACTGAGGCCAAGCTAGCCGCTTTACAGGTGTATGAAAGTACAATAACGTCAGAGCTGGATGGCTTACTGCCTTGTGACAGCGATAAAATACGTCAGGTCCAGGAGAGAGCCATTGAAGAAGGCATGAGGATTTTTCAGGAAGAAACTATTGGAGTATCTGCCTCGAGTAGCGAGAAGTATTTGGATGAGCTCATGGTGAGACTGCGACATTACAGTACTATTTTTAATGAGCTGATCAACATTTTCCCCAGAAATTTCTGGCCGAGCAACCTTTTGAAAGTTAAAGAATGCTCATCCCTCAAAATCCACCCTTGGGTAGTTTACGACTTCTATGGCGTTCTAAGTTCACGAGTAAAATATCTAGTTGAAATGTAGAAGGGCTTTCTACGCATTTTTCAGAAGATACTATTAGGTCAGAGGGTCATTAGTGAGGCTCCTGTTAGGAACACCCAGTATTTTAGTTTCCTGAGCACGCCTATGTTGTTGCCTAAACCAATACCTTTCAATGGAACGAGCACTGTTATTTCTTGTTAGGAGAGTATGAACGAAGCATTGAAACGGTGGCAGAATGAGAACAATCGACTTACGAAAGAACAATGCCATAAACTGTTGAGGGCTTTGAAAGAAGAACATTTAGACCCCGTTCTAAGGGAGCTCAGTGGCAAGGATGGAGCGTCAGTCAGCTTCTCTCAGATTATTGGAGGCTACTCAGCAATTGAGCAGGGATTTACACGTGACGCACGAGGAGCCAAGGACATTTGTGCTCAAGTGTTTTACGAGTTTCATCCGGTAGGTGTATGTGGGATTTCTTTTAAACCGATGAAAACGTTCTAGTCATTCTCTTACAAGCAAGGGAGGGGCGGATCACAGGCCAATCAAGTTTGTTGTGTAGCATGACCGGAAACTTCCTCATGCTAATAATTTGTTGTGAGCTATAATGGATAGAGTAAGATAACGACCTTTAGTTGTTCTTTTTTTTATTATAAACTAGCAAAACTAAATAATAAAAACTAAAGTGAAGGTGCATTTATGAAGGTATATCTTACAAACTGTTACTTTGGCTATGCAGGAAATGCAGGCAGAGATAGAAAAATACATGGCGTATTTACAACAGCTGAAGGACTTCGACGAGTCTTTGGCTTTGGAAAGACAAGAAAAGGCTCGTCAGGAGCAGGAGAGACGACGAATCGAGGTAACACATTTAAGACATCAGAGAGAAAGATACGGATTATATGTCAACATCAGTAAGAACAATAATGGCGACGAAAACATGCCATTAATAAGATAGACAACAAAAATGGCTGTAATAAGTAAATAGTAATGGTATAAAACATGGTTCATTGAATATGCGATAAATACCAACGCACTTGCATCAGTTGCAACTATGGTTGGTTCTCGAAATTGTCTTTTTGAAATACAGATTGAGAATTATTAGTAATATGTG